ATCTTTAACAGCTCGTGCCACAGTCGACGATAGCAGCTTCCTCCATTTTATTTTTGGTGCCACTTCAAAAAATTTATCAATCGGTTGCGATTTCCTTTATCCACCATCGTCTGTGTTATTAACGACGATGTCATCACTCTCTTCTTCATGTTGGGGAGAGAGAGGCGAGTAGTAATACTGTTTATAGGTATTTACATTATCGTCTGCGAAGCTGAATGATCTCTGCAACAACAGAGTTATCACGTTAATATCAATTTGATTAATCTGACACACACACACATACACACGTAAGGAAACAACAACAGAAATACAAGTAAGTTTGTCAATAGAATAAACACTTACCTCCATGATGCGTTGAAGTAGGTAACACAAACGTAGTATTGGTAGACGTATACAATTCACTGTGGTCAAACGACCATACACTGATTGCATGACTGCAATTGTTCCATCATATATAGTCCATTCTTATCTAAAACATGACACACACATACACATCCCTAAGTACAACGAAACTCTATGAATCAACAAACTTATCTCACATCACCACAGGCATGAACCTGTTTTGTGACTAACACAAAGAATGCGATTTAATATTTACAAATCACTATCATTGAACATTCCTATGACAACCATTGAATAGATTGATACTGTAATAATCTGCTAATAACAGTCATATCATGGATACACTAGAATTACAAAAACATATGAAAAAGATTCATTCCAGTCTAGAAAATAATGTTTATGCTGCTAATAGACTACCTATGTACACACATGTACCAACGTATATAATATGCAATTTGGATGCGGATGATAAACCAGGGTCACACTGGGTAGCCATACATATCGATACAAATGGTATCGGCCAATATTTTGATTCATATGGACGAACACCTGAGCGATATCATCTTCAGTTTTTGAAGAGGAATTGTAAGAGGTGGGACTGGAATGTTGATAGGATTCAGAATGATTGGACTTCGGTTTGTAGCGAATATTGCTTAATGTATTTGCTATTTAAGTTTCAGGGATGTTCAATGCATAGTTTTACGAACATATTTACAGGAAACACGCTGTACAATGATAATTTAGTGGATGAGATGTTCCACTCATATTTTGTAAAATGAAAGTAATAAAATTTCGAAATAAAAAATGAATGATTGTGTTTTATTGATGATATAGAAAATCAGACAAAATGAAGTTAACAATGAGTAATAGATAAGAACGCCAAAGCAACCGTAATGAGAGAGTTCGAAGCACAATAGATAATGATAACGATAGGCGTACAATGGGACGTTAAGTAATGTAACGATAAGCAAACAAAGGAACGTTAATGAGGGTTCAGAAGCTGATTCTGATTTGCATAACTCCAGAACCACGCATCCTACGCAAAAATGGACTGCAGAAACGTGATCAGAGCATGCCAAAACCTAGGATAGCATACCAAACTTTTTTTTTTTTTTTTTTTTTTTTTAGGTTTGGTGCCACTCAGATTTTAGATTCCGGGTGATTAGCTGGTTCTGGCGCGTGCGCCAGAACCAGCTAATCACCACTACTAATTCGGCATAACGGTATAATAAAGATAATACAGTCAAAAATCAACAGAAAAACTGACAACACGTAGTAAATAAAACACTATAGTCAGAATTTTAATTCGATTCCTGACTTGACATGACATACTGTCACTTTGTGAAATAATGATACCACATAAAACAGTGTAGTGATGAACACAAAAATCGATAAACAATCAGTGAATAAGTTTCAGGAAGGCATTCAAAAAATTACGGCTACCGAATGGTCTAAATACGTATCCCATGTTGTCAAAGAAGAGGAAAAAATGAGTAAGATAGATATGTTAATTGACAATAAATATCACAGACACAATTCATAATAAATGTTACAGAAAGTAACAGCGATAGCCGCGATAGCGATGATGACGGTGACAATTTATAAAATGTCTGTTTTACTTGTCATGTTCCTTCATGATCACATTTTTTTATTAATTACACACACAGGTACAAAAGAAAAGTCTCAGATCGTTAATTAATTGTCAAAACTAAATTATCGGTTCAGAAATATTTTATTTCCTGATAAACTTAGTTTACAAAAGTAAATTTAGAAACGAGAGGAATCGATTCAGAAATATTCGAATTCCATATCGAATAATTTCGCAACGTCACTATTTAGTACGTGCCATAACGTTGCAACACTGAAATTGTCAAATCTGGAATCGAATTAAAATTCCGAGTATAGTAAATCGAAATTAGACATACATTCTGGTTTTTATATCTATCTATCTATCTATCTATCTATCTCTAGAAGCAATTTTATAGGAAGGTATAGCTTTAAAGTTTCAAACAACATTCACGTTTCACTGAGCCGGTCGCTAGCGTCATGGCATCAAAAGGAGCTCCTCTATGCAAAGGAGGAATGACCTAAATCCTACTTACTCATAAACACTATCTTCTTCCACACAAACCGTACTGAATTTAATGCATACAAATAATATAAATTGAATATTCTGCTTTCATGGTCTGTGTATACTTAATCATTCATTGCTTTTTTATCGATTTAAAGCTCCTCTCACGCTCTGCACGGCTCCTACAGATCGCAACGTGATGTTTTATAGCCTAAAGCCTTTACGCAGTAAATGGTCTATTAAACATAAAAATATTTTTTCAATTCGAACCAGTAGTCCCTTCGAAACTGTAAACGTGTGAACAAAGTTAACTTTATAATATTAGTACCTATAGATTACTGCTTATTCTAGTTAGGTTTAAATTTTTAGAAGTTACGACTTAATGAAGTACCTACACTTGAATGCAAAACAGACGAGCTTAGTTTATAAAGACAGAAAAAAATACCCTGTAGTTAATTACGCCCTACAAGATATAGTTTTGCTAACTTAAAACTTTATAATCATAATGGAAGTTGCTGTATAAAATATACAGCATTTTAAATTAAAGGGGAAATAGGAAATTTCTAACAATACAAACAATAATGTCGGCTGCAAATTACATCAGGCTCATGACTTCACTTATTTTATTTACCTACATAGATCAACGAACACGTAATTGTAGAAAAAGCATACCTTTGTACACTGCAAGTAGTACACCTACAGCTTACAAAAAAATCCTAGATACGTAATGGATGCAGACGCCATTATCGTTTTGGAATTCTCTATGCAAAATGTAAATCGATTTTTTAATGAAAAAGCGTATTTTATATGTGACTTCAGCACAGACTAGTCTAATAGTCTAGACAATTGCGTAACCCCAGACTGCGCCAAGTCGAGTAAAATGCTACGAGGCGGGCGCACTGCCTATAAACTTAATACCCGGCCACTAAGCGCTTATGATGCTATTTCCCAGATCCCAAATGCCCCAACTAGTATTGTTATAAAAACGTTTAATTCGGAATAACTTTAATCGTGTAATAAATTGCGATGGGATAAACGGTCATTGGGACATCTCAAAGAGGAGACTCTCAAAGTCAAAGTGGCGACTTCTCGATTCTTACACTACCATTAAAGGTTTGATTCCATTCCTATTTAGGGCATGCCTATACTTCTACAGATATCGATCGCTTGCTTAAACGTGATAAAACATGACCACGATTCCCTTATCCGATAATGTTAATTAATTCCATATTTCCTTATAATGAAATAATGAAAATACTTTTTTCCTTCCGAGCAAAAAACGCGTCGACAGATTAAAACAATCGTTCGGATACGACTTATAATTTATTGAATTTGACTAGTTGGAAACTACCATATTATAACAAAATCAAAGAGCCCTTAAAATGTCAAAGACCAGTACTCAACGCCAGAAGAGGCATCAATTCACAGAATGTCATTGACTTAAGCATAACAAATTCACTTTCAAATAGGAATCCTAGTACCTGGACATCTCATGCATCAGATAAGATAACAGCACTATCAGTTTGATTGACACACCTGTTGTATCTATTTATGTATATCTTACACTAAACATTTAAATATCTTTGCCTCAGTTCTAGACATATATGAAAACGATAAATTAATTTATTAAAAGATCTCCTAAAGATCTTACTGTGAAAAAACTTAATAAGCTTAAATCAAATAGGATATAGCCTGGGTATTGAACTTACGAAACCTGAGGGCTTATTGAATAGGATAAGGGAAGAGAGAAGGGAAGAAATATAGCTCTGCTATCGTCACAGACATTTGTATTACCTGTTCTTCTATCAGCCAAAATGCATAATACAAAATTTTTGGCTTAGGATATTTAAACATAAATAGAAGAGGGTTTCTATCAATTGCTTAAATCAATCTAGAGATGTTTATACAACCCTTATCACTATCTAGTGATATTGGCTGTGGCTAGCAGTTTTATTATCTACGTAGTAGGCAGGTAAGGCTTAATACAGACAAATTGAAAAATCTAAATGCTTGGCTAGCTATCTTTCACTATATGTTTAAATCTTGTCAAAAATAATTATGGTAATAACACACCATCTGGGTTACAGTAGTAGTACAGAACTACAAATATCCTGTATTGAACAATGTCATAATGTTTAATTCATATTCAGGACAGCTATTACTAATTTGTCTAATTACCAATTATAAACTTGATCCCTAAAGTATTTCGACAAAATTAATTAAACCCATCAATTATTTAAATTGCTACCATTATCCTATTCACCATTTATTTATTTTATCATTTAGTCATTGGTAGCAAATGTCCAACATAAAAAAGCATATATCCATTGAAAAATTATTTTCATAAACTGAAGCTGATTGAAAGGGAAAGAAAGTAGTATAATTTCATTACCAAATCCACTGACAAATAAGACATTGTAACGTATGTTGGATATTACTTAATGAACAATGTAAAATTAATCTATGACTTTCAATCTCAGATATTACTTATTTAATTCCAGACATCATAATAACACATATCAGGCAATATTCATGTCAGCTGATAAACTTTCAAACTGCTACTACAGTTATAAATAATACAACTCACTTTGTCCAAGTATCCCTTGCCGGTTGGGTCCGACAGGTCCCATATCTTGCTAAGTACCACATCGCTGAGTCGGGACTTTTTGAGAAAACGAGCCGCATCCAGTGCCTGGATTGTGCCTGCGCCATTGGGGTCCACCTGCAATGATAAAATAATAATTTGTTTTAGGTGTCATAACAACATTGTCAGCAGCACCAACGCTGTACTTTCTAAGTTTATTTAGACACCACTGACAACAGTGAAGAAAAACATTCTAAAGAAACTTTGTATTAAAAATTTCACTTATAGCCTAATGATGATGATGAAAATAATGTTACTAAGGTGGTGTGAAAAACTTTGCAACAATGAAGATAAAACTGTTTTAGAATCATGAAGGTCCACTTTATTTTTTTACACAGATTGTTGGGACGTGATATCCCCTTACCATGTATGTTCTTAATGTATGATTTAATAACTTTGTTACTATTCAAAGTAGCATAAAACAATACCAACACTGAGTAAGTAAAAGTGAAGGTTCTTGGCAGACCCAACCAAGTAAGTAATCTTATGAATTATTAAAATAAAGGTTTTGAATACTGTTTCTAAAGAACATAAGTTTCCATATTTCATGGTACCAAGTACTTACATTTCCTTGAAATATGTGTAAGCTTAATAATATTGTACAACCAGGTGGCAAGCTGCCAAACCACTGTACATAGGTGCTTGTGATAGACATTTACTATTTCACAAACTTAGTTTTAAGTTGAATCCAATTAGAATCACATAGAATATTGTATAGACAAATATAACTTTACAAAACTGAACAGAATAGAAATGATAATAACTTCTATTAAATTGTCAATAAAAAGGTGTATAGTTCAAATTGTCACATATTATATTATTAGCACTCTGAAACTAGAAATAAGAATTAAAGTTTCATGTATCAATAGAGAAATAAATTATATTTGTTTATACCATCAAATGTTTAAGTTGATTTCTATGTCAGACAGTGTTAATGATATCACATTAACACTGCTATCTGAGAGAGAGACTATCAGAGACATTTTCAAGGACACTGTAAAAGAAATTTCAATTTTATTTCACCTGTGTGCCTACACTCTATAATATAGAATCTATATACTAATTTATTATGAGTCTTATACTAAATGGAAATGAATCTTACTAATTACAATAACAATGTTTCTAGATTGAATTATCATGCAAGATCATTTGATTAAGTAACAATGGTTAATTACCAACTACAGACAGAAAATTAAGAACTGGTACTTATTCCTGTTTTTAAATAGGTACTAGGTATGTGAAGTGTGAACAAACAACAATAATGAAAATAGTTATATGGAAGAGAACCATCTCATTTGCTGTTTTCAGAATCCTTGATTTTTGGATAAATAACAAAAAACATTTTACCAATATTTAGCCTAGTAAAAGAACAATCAAAATTATTGATTGCAGTTACTCACAACTGAAGTTTAACTATGGTCTTAACGATCTTAGAAATAAGAGTTACTTTCCATTCAATACTTAGATTTGTTCCAGTAGATGTTGGCCAAGAACTTTATTTCTTAAAATAATAGGTACATAAACAATATTATCTAAGTGCTAATGTTCGTAATCAAATAATAATTGTATAGAAACATAGTAATTAAGTTAATTATTTAAATTAACAAGTAAAATATTTTTTGATACTCACCTGGTGATAATATGCTTCGTATATAGCGCTGTGGGTCCCTGCCACCTGCAACCGTTCAAACCCCATTTTCATAACGTAATAACACTACAAAATAATGATCCAGAACCTTATTTTGAACGGCTATGGGTGTGACATTTCAATAATCCTCACGACGTTTCCAACTTTCGCGAAACGGATACGATTACGTGGTCTTATAACACAATACACCCAAAAAATTGACAGGAAACACTAATCATAAACTTTACTTAGCAATTTGAAAATAACTACACTGTAGAACAAATAGATAAACTGGAGATATTCTAAAAAAATTGAGTAGCGTAATCGTTCACGGTACACTAAACTTTGACTTCGGATTTTTCGATGTTTTCACATTGTATGATTAATTTTCACTGCACTAAATTGTAGTCACATTAACAAACTGTTCTTTAAAATACTAAACTATATTATTTCGGCTTTTTTAACTACTCAAATCTCAAATATTTCTACCTGAGTAGGAGAAGGCAAGGCAGCCATTTTTTACATCTCCTCGTCGACCAATCAATAAGCGGCCATAGACTAAAGAAACTTTGACATAAGCGGTGCTATTGATGGGAAATGTATGAAACAGTACCTATAAAAACTTTAAAATTCAAAATAATTTGCTTATGGGCGAAATCAAGTTATCAGACACACTGAAACTATGAATGTTGGGGAATTGTTGGTTTACAACACAGACGTATAAAGCAGTAGCAGATAAAACAAACGCCAAGTATTGTGAAGTCGCTAAACAACAAAGACTGGAGTGTTGTCGTTTAATGCAATGTTTTGAAGATCTATAATATATATAACTGTTGCTCACTACCCTTCACCATTTTATTATAAAAAATAGATATTTTGGCTTTAACACAATGCGGAGTATTATCGTGGATAAAAAGCTTATCAGTATGGTGGCGTAGAACAACTGGCTTCATCACATTTGTCTATGCGTGTATGGTAAAACTAGCGGCCCACCCCCGCTTCGCACGGGTCCAACTATTTCGCTAACAATGAAAGGGTCCCTTTTCTCCTTTACTTTTCTAATATTTACTTTCATAAGAACCTTCTCCTGACAATAATAAATACAAAACAAAAGGATTTGACCAAATTGGTCCAGCCGTTTTTGAGTTATGCTCTTACCAACACATTTTGCGATTCATTTTTATATTATAGATAATGGAGTGCCATGGTATTTTATAGAACAAGGATGGAATGGATATATGTAGGAATATCATTATTTGTTTTCTATTTATTATAGTTCAAACTACCAACTTCTGTGGTAGGTAGTAGGGCTTACCTATGTATGTTAATAACTATGTATAAGACTTAGGTACCTATACGTTACCAGTTGGATAGCACGATAACGTGTCGCGGGTTCGGTTCCCGCAAAGTCAGAAGTCAAAAAAAGTCAAAATCATTTATTTCAATTAGACCACAGTAGGCACTTTTGAACGTAAAGAAAAAGAAAGGAAAAAAGTATTTCAAGAGCTTTAACATTAAGCGTGTCAGTCTGTCCGTCTGTCTTCTAGTGAAGCTATTTGCTTGTACCAAAGTGTAGATTCCTATGAAGAAGAACGAGCAAGAAACTGCATGGTTACTCTTTTTCATTCAGTTTTACAATAAGTATATTTCTTTGTGACATCATTTAGTCGGTAGTCGCACGGAGCAACTCTTTGTGTGTTCTACAAATTGTTGTTCCGGATCTGGGTGTAATGCGTATGTGAAATTGTATGTTTGTAACGCACCAACGACACAGGAGAAACTCCTAGCGTGGGACAATGTTTAAAGAAACACAAAATAAGCAATAAGCAAGTTTAGTCCGTTACCGCCCGAGCCGAAGCCAACTCGCAGAGGCCTGTTGAACAATTTTAATATAAATGTGATGGGACATCAGCCGGCAATTATCCCTGTATGCACTATAAAAGTGCGCCCAAGGACAATCCCCGGTTGATGCAGGACTATTGTAAAATGTGGTAACAATTGAGAGGGTTATGGGTATGGGTTGCTATGCACTAATGGATGAAAACTATGGAAATACTATGGCCCCTGCCCTTGACCAATATTATCAATTTTATTATTATTGTAATTTATTATTATTTTATTATTATATTTGAAATCTGATCCAACAGACAAACTGTGTGTACAGTTTTGTTGGACATTTTATACTTTTTATAATGTAAAATGTAGGTACCTTTTAAGCCATAATAAATAAAACTAATTTACCTACTACAATTAAAAGAGAATTTAAATGGGCGCCTCGCCCTTATGATACCTACATGTAGGAAAGTATAATCAAACACTCATTTGCGCTATCAGTTTTATTTCTACTTAATTCAAGTAAATTGAAAAAAAAAGATATTATTTTTCTATTACCTACTGGTTTTTACAGCATCTACAAATCCTTGTAAACGTTTCAACCCTTGTGAATTAATTTCAAAACAAGGAAGACTTTTTAATGCGCTCATCCAGTTTTTCAGGTGTCTGTGACGTTCCAAAAGAGGAATCAATATTTCAAGAGATGTTATTGTAGTCCCGCAACAAATGTCGCATAGTCGTATCTGTAACATAAAGAAAGTGAATAAATAATTGTACCTATTAAATATACCTGAATGTAAAAGAATTGGGTCGATAATACCTTAATCTCAAAAATCTCACCTTATCACCAGAAAGCCACTTCTGTTTACCTAAAACGAGCTCACAATAGTCTAACGCGGAGTACCATTTATTAATCAATACTTCGTTAGCTGGGCTTTTATTGGCAAAGAAGTCGCTCTGAAAATAAACAAATAGTAGGTCGGTTATCTTGTAGGTAGGTACCTAAAATCTAATAATGATAATATAATTTTTTCGTAAAACTTTAAATATAATAAAGTATAGGTAAAACACATCAATTTGTTTGGCATAAACAGTAGGCGGGTTCTAAACAAGTATACCTATTCTGACTTTATTTGATACATTCCATTATAACTAACTGTGAGGACATCACATTAAGTGAAAAGTAAGTACGTAATTAGCAGGTTTCCTTACAAATATGGCACTATCGATTGGAAACAGTACGCCAGCATCAAAGTAAAGCCATTCATCTATCTTTGCTTTAAGAATGATATCATCAGGGTACAGCTCTTGATTGTTGCTCTTCCTACAGAAGTACAACGCTATAGCGTGACTGTCGCGAATATTTTGTCCGTTTACCGAAAGACACGGCACCTTCTGAAGGGGATTTATCTGAGAAAATAAAACAAAACAAACCATCAATACAAAATTGAACAGAGAATAGGTGGATTATCTATCCACCTATTCTTAGTACACAGGTATTCTTAAAATTATTAAATACTTAGAATACCTTTTTATAAAATTCAGTTCGGTTCTCTGCTTTGAATAGATCGATTTTTTTGAATTCGACATCAATGTTCGCTAAAGATGCTGTCATCATAGCGAACCTCACTGGGGGCGACGCCTCATCACCGTACAGGATTGGTTTCATCACAGCATTCTCCATTGTATTGCTATTTAAAACATAAAGCAATACTTTTATATACAACATTCCAAAAATCTAAATCTTTAGTAACATTTTAAACACGTAAAATTTGTATGTCTCTACATTAGATTATACCCTGGCATGCAGCAAACAATTCGCCCTGGTTTTCTTTGGAACCGCTGATCGTTTTTTCAAAATTCTTACACTGATAGATAGCTACAGTGTTCACGAGTAATGATTTTACCTCGTATTTCTTTCAAACGGACCTAAGCATAGATTTAACACCGTCAGCAATGCGATAGGGACAACAACTAAAGTACATTATTTGTAACTTTATTTATTGAAGCCTATCTATGTCTTGTAGCCACATTGTATTTTACAATTCAAATGTTTTTAGTTGGGATAGTAACAAAAACGTTGACACATCGAAACTATAAGTCGGTAGTTATTTCACAGTTACCTGAGTGCACGTTTTTCAAAGTGACACAAAACTTGAAGCTTTTTGCGACAAAAGTTACCTCGTGAAATATACATTTATAACTCTGCTTCTTGTTACTACATTTCAAGAGACAACTGATCAGTAAGGATCCCACTGTCTTTATGACGCAAAACAATAATGTAGATAACTATTTACACTTGTAAATTAGTCTGAATCCATAACGTCGCCCCACACTGCCGACATGTATGTATAGATTCCCGATATCTCCTACATTATGCATGTCTCACATTCGGATCCCAAATGTGTTGTTGTTTCTTTTTAAAAAGTATTTTTTTACTGATCTCCTCCAATTTTATATTCAAGTGGTTCTGTAGCCGTTTGCATCATAAGGGGTATCTTTTTCGTCTATCAAAACACTGTGCTGATTAACAATGAGAAACTTCTTTGAATCGGTGCGGTTTTTTTAAAACAAATATTCTGTCAGTTACAGTTGTTAGACAATTTGATAAAACATTACGAAATATCTATAAAATATAAAAAAAATGCATATTTAATTCAATTATATAAATATTTTTTCTAAATTACAGTATTTTTTTTAAATATATTCACTTAATGGGGCTTTCAGCTAGTAAGAAGCTTTCAACAGGGTTAAAGTAAGTTTTATTTACCTACCTATTAAATGCAGCATAATTACACCAATAACTATGGCATATGGCATAAAAACAGTATCTAGATACTCAGAAGTCAGAACAAGTAATTTGTTAATTATAAGACGAAGTAACGGACAGTGGGGAAACTGGTTGGTCGACTACTGAGTAACTGTTAATAGGAACACAGGACCCTCAGATAGTATTATATATTTGAGTGTGGGAGAGCCATGCTTCGGCACGAATGGGTCGGCTCGACCGGAGTGATACCATGGCCTCACAGAAAACTGGCGTGAAACAACCACAGCGTTGTTTCGCCGTGTAAGTGAGGTTACCGGAGGCCCAATCTTTCCCCAGCCCCAATCCCTCCTCAATCCTTAATTCTCCAAATCCCTAATCCCTAAAAGGTCGGCAACGCACTCGTAACTCCTCCGTTGCGGGTGTCCATGGGCGGCGCTGATTACTTACCATCAGGTAATCCGTCTGCTCGTTTGCCGATCTATTAAATAAAAAAAAAAAGTATTTACGGTAGATACATGAGTACCAATGTATGATAATTATGGTTTCCTGTGGTCCTTCAAAATGTTTTAATTTGTGTTAGAAGACTGGTCCGTACTTAAGTAATTTTTGTTTATAACAAAACATAGGCACTGCACGTTATGGAAAGCAGATAGAAGTCCAGCGTGTAGAGCCGTAATGATGTCGTTGGACGCCATGAACTTGAGCGTAACGGAAGTAGACATCAACATAGATAAAGAAGAACACAAAACACCACAAATGCTCTCTGTAAGAAACTTTTCACTCAACATACAACTTTTTCATTCAACATATCCATGCGTAAGTAGATGGAAGAAAACAATACAAAATCGAATGCAATTTTTTCAGCTTAATCCATTACAAACGTTACCAGTTTTCAAGGACCGAGAACTTGTGCTATGTGACAGGTATTCACCTTATATTTTTCTAACAATTATGATAAATTTATTGTCTTAGCTACTTCTTAATTGAGAATATTAAAAAGAACATAAAGTTGTTTATAATGTGTGCGGTAATGGTTCTGAAGTATATGGAAAGATATGTTGTCACTGGAATGTTAACGGTAATTTGTGACAGGTACATACTGTGTGAGGTAGCTAAATTTATTTTTCTTTGATTTTACTTGCAGTCATGCGATCTGTACGTACTTAGCCGGTCGGTACTGTGACTCCGGCCGCCTGTTGCCTAAGGATCCTGGGGGCCGTTCCATAGTAGACCAGCACATGCATTATAACAGTGGGATCTTATATCCTCGATTCCGCGCAGCCGCTGTTAGTAATATCTATGTAGTTTGATTTTAAACACTTGTTTCCAATATCTCAGGCATTATAAAATAAGCACTTAAAATAGAAATGTTTATGGTACCTATTCATTTGTTTTAAGATTATACATAATTACTAATAGGTATAATAAATATATCTACATAGAAGTCCCTAAGTATAAAGCATTAACAAGGTCTTCATATATTACAGTATCCGATCCTTTATGGAAACTGCAAATACCTTAATGCACAACAAATTATGGACATTGAATGTACTTATTATGATCTGGAGTGCATGTTGGTTGGTAAATGCTGGTTTGGTGGCAGTTGGGCAACTCTAAGCGATATTATCTTTGCGGCTTCAGTTAGCACCCTCAATATTTTAGTGCCCGTTGACAAATACAAGTAAGTCAATTAAAAGAACAATACACTTGGATTCATAGCAACTTGGAAAGGAAATGATACTCCATTTACAATTTCAGATTTCCGAGACTCTCGGGGTGGCTATATCGTGTATCGGAGGAATTATTTTACGTAACAGCCAATAAAAAAGGACTCTGCGAGTTCACGAAAAGAATAGGCGAGTTACCACAAGTACAAAAGTCATAAGTTTATAACTCAAGAACATATTTTTACAAAGGTATGTTTGTCAACATTAGATTGCGGCTGTGTTAATGATGACAATGAGTTCAAGTGTCCAAGAACCTCTATGAGACGACGATCGCTAGCGCAGGCCAATTGCTAAAAATGCATTGGGGTTTGCCGGGAGTTGAGGGCGGGTGCAGATTTCCGAAAGTAGACTAATGGGCCTGTATCGCCGTTTTCTCAACTACTTAATACAGGTAAAATATCTCATGATGATCGTATCCACTGTCCATATCGTCCGTCCATGAGTTAAAATTATATTGTATTGTACGATTTTGAAATGTAAAACATAGATTGTTTGTGAATTTATTAGAACTCGCCGAGGTACAAGTAGGTAATAGATTGTAAGTCCTCCTGAAACCTGTAATATATTAGGTACACACCCGGGTATTAGGTATTAGGCTTCTAGACTACGCCCATGGCAAATAACAAATATTGTAGTTAATTTAAAGCTTATTCGAAATAAATGAGTGATAAGCTACAAAGCCGTTTTTCTACTTGTATTTTTTTACTTGCAGTTCCTACACCTATATGAGTTCAATATTGTACATTTTATTAAACTTCTTTTAATACCCAAGAGTAAATTATTGAAAAATAGGAAACGAACCTGGAGCCACTTGCGACCACAAGGGACAACGAAGCAGGCGTTGTAAGCACATAGTTGTATGAGATAGAATACTACCTACTGAAAATGAGAAAATGCAACTAATCAAATTACCCAAAACTTAGGGTCATCCTAACTCCCGGACATGAGTAGTGATTACCCACCATTAAAAAACCTGTCGGAATAAACTAAAAACGAGTTACATATCATATTTTTGGAAGAATGTGGATATATTCAGTTAGATCATGATCTTTATTTTTCAAAGAACAGGGAACAGTTTTGTCACCTTACGGCAGGTCGGTGTCAGTAGAACGTAGGTAGTGTTTATATACTCTTTGGGCACCCAAGTGCCGCCACGGCATCATTATGGACTTTCAATTTTTTACAGGCTTAGAAACACTAGTGTAGCATGTCATCTACGCACCCACAGAGTTCATTATTATAACGCACGGTATGGTATGGTAAGTACGCACCGGTTTTATAAGGTCAAGACACATTCGTAAGCCGCGGCGTGCTATCGTACCACGACTCGCCTGCCCGCTGCTCGCCCGCCACACAAATGTTTCTCTAACCTACCTAATATATTTACATCGGGTTTAAAGCGCGTAATTAGACTAACTGACCGGTTGCCATAATTGCGCCACATGATAAGTTCATCGTTTAATAATTTAGCATTCGTAAATATCAACAATAAGGTACAGTAGCTTAGGCGTGCAGCCCCGGCGTACGGCGCGCTCCTTAAAAAGCCAATATGAATAGACCACAACAGATGGTGTCCTAAGAGGGCTGATGTTCAGCCGGGGTTATAGGGTAAGCGCAATGAGGCGCCGCCCGCGGCCTCGGCCTAAAGCAGGAGGAGTGAGGCGGTTTAGTCAGTGAGTCTGACACTAGGCGAGAGAAATAATTCATTCATTTTTTCTCCCTTCATATATATCTTTTGAACATACAAACAAATTGTACACACATGTTTTTTTTTTTCTTTTTGGAATTTTCGTAACGACAAAAGTCTCGACAGTACCTACAAAAACAATTCGATTGCCAAAAATGTCGTTGTTGTAAATTTTTGTTCTATGGAATTTTCTTTTATTGTTGCATATTAACTTCTGTCGTGCGGTTCCACTCGCTGCTCGGCTCCTGCAAATCGTAGCGTGATGTTTTATAGCCTTAAGCCTTCCTCGATAAATGTACTAACAAACACAACAAGAATTATTCAATTCGAACCAGTAGTACTGAAGATTAGCGCGTTCAAACAAACAAACAAACTCTACAGCTTTATAATATTAATAAGTATAGATATTATAGTACGGATGTATTTCTATGATGCAACGACACTGTCACAAGTTGGTCACAACACTCAGACCATAGTAAATTTAATTCCTCCATGGAGTTCTATAGATAAGCTTGTTGTTCATGACTTTTCTGTCAGTGATTTTCTGATTGTTGTCCTTGTCATGTCATGCGTGTCTGTCATTTAAAAGTTTCTCGACGATTTTTAATTTATTTATTTGTTGTCAAGTGGAGGAGGGATGAATGAGTGAAGAGTGTTCAACGCAATTCATTATGTAGATTATCAAACATTACCGTCCATTGTTCGCACAGAGTTCACAAGGGAAACGATAAAAAGTTTATTGGGAATTCTCACGGAATCCGAAGAAAGTTGACGTGAGAGGTGTCTGCTGTATTATGAATGGTGCTGTCGTTCTGAAGCTGGTGTCATCATCATGTTGCTCGTGTCGTGCTCACATATAATAAAGTAATATTACGTTACGCTAACGTAACTCGTTTTGTTTACATCGACTCTTGTGTTTGAAATCTGCACAATTTTGGAAAGTTTCAAAATCTGTTTGGCACCATCATTGCACACCAGTCGCATCAGCAATGGCCGGGTTCCAGACGAGTGATACAATGCCCAAGTTCGGTCACGTGACAGACTTACGAGAGCAATGGCTCGTACGTGCTGATGGAGCGCTGGCGCATCGCCTGCAGGACCGTGAAATCTCGTCTCATCTGTGTGAAAATAGATATCGTAACCAGCTGATTCGCGAGGACTTTCCAATAGCTCTTAATGAACAACGAGACATAGAGCACGAAGTTCACTTAAGAGAACTCACTCGACGTCGACAAGCCGAAATTGATGCAGAAATAGCACGAGAGATGGCTGAAATTAATCTTCGCAGACAACGACGCCAGCAATCCAGTGACATGTTACAACAACCCAGCTCATCCCGCGCCGCGCCTCCAGCGCCGCTTCCTGCTACAACTGTTCCAAGTGAAGATATTGATCCTGAAGAACTTGGACTGTCTCCAACTGAACTTGAAGAAATGAGAAGACGTCTCGAACAAGAAGAGAAAGATGCAAGACTTGCTAGGGAACTGAGCCATGAAGACAACAACCAAGATGCTCTATTGGCTGACATGAGATGTGCAGTAGAAGCTCAGGATGGTGAGTTGGCAAGATTATTGCAAGAGAGAGAATACAAAAAACTTCAGAGAGCTAAGGAAAAGGCAAGGCAGAAGGCTTTGTTAAAAAAACAACAGAAAATGGCTGCCCAACAACAAGGACTAGCATCTCATTTAGACAGTGAAGCCACTCTTACGCAGCAGGCAACATTATGTGATGCTTACAGTAATCCTCGAGATATGATCCGTGAGAACCGACTTAGACTGTGCAAATCTGTTGATTCTGATTTGCATTATGTTGAACCATTTGAAAAAGAATCCATCCAATCTAAAGCCAGTGCCTTGCAGTCCTTGGAGATGTCAAACCAGTATTACTCTCGACAACCTGAAGCAGGTACTTCAGGCAGTAATTTATCTCATGCTCATTCACAATCTATTGATGATAAAAGGGTACCCAGTAATCAAAATTCAATACAGCACCGACAGCCTCCACCTCCACCAGCAACAAGCAAGAAACCTCGTTTTCCAGACCCAGTTAGTATCAGACCTGCCTCACACTACCCCACTGAGCAGTCAGTGCCTGAAAGTGTCCCTCCTCCCACCATGGCTCACAGCTACAGTGAAAACAACAACCTATACAGTTGCACATACCCACCTGACATCAACCCACCACACATGGCACAGGAAAGACATGACAACAACAAAAGGCTTTCTGTTATATCAGATATTACTGCTGAAGGCCTGGCCAAAAAGAAAAGTAAACAAGCTGACATTAACAAGAAAAGAAAAGGATGCAAAATACAATGATGGTGCTCTTGTGTTAACAAGTGAGATGTGCAATTTAATAATGGGGTGAATAATAATATTAATGATGGTATTTTGTGAGTTTTAGCTGATCTTTTGTGTTATATTTTATTGGATAATATTTGCAATTAGCAAGCTCAAAAATCTTTTTATATAAAAATATTTTAAGTTGTGGCACAGTAACTTACATTTTATTATGTTTGTTTTTATATCTGATTTTGATTGATATTTTTTTTGCTTATACTTAAATAATGATTATTTATTATAACCTATATTGTAGGCTCTGCTATATCATACATACTTAAGTAAAACTTGTGCTTGGGGAAGCACTTGACTCATTATGGATAATGTCAACTGAATGTGGCATTAGCTATTGCAGTTGAGTGGAATTAGATAACTTTTTTGTAACATCAGCATAACCATAGTTATTGAATGACTTGATTGGATCATGATTCATCTGATATCACATACAAAAGGTATGAATCACAAGCCGTACGACTTAAATATGTATGATACTGCAGTATAGATGTAGTTGTCAGCTCAAGAGTGGAATCACCTTCAAAGGTGTATGTTGCTGCCACTGACAGGCTTTCAACTATTAACTTGCAGCAGTACCTGCGGAACCAATGAGCCATTTAAATCTAAGGTCAGTTTGTGCTAATGGGTGCAAGCATAAAGGCGGGTAACCAATATGGGTCCAGTATTTTTGCACTGATTGCAACAGGGTTTACTTACATATATATCATTATAAATAGCACATAATATTTAGTAAATGAGTGCCTAAGATAATATAAAATACCTGTTTCTTTATGTTAGCACCTCTTGTCTAGATTTAAGTGCAGACATTCCAATATTTACATATGTTTGGGTACTTATTTAGTAGATAGTTATTAAGAAATACATGGTCTATATATAAGAAATGGCTTACGCAATAGTAAGATTGAAAATAATTGAAAACTCTCAATAAATAAAAATATAAAATAGAAAGAATAAATAGGTACAAAAGATTCACTAACTCCATGACAAATAAGACAATAAGTCACTTTTAAATATATTACAATTGGAATTATTTTAGTTAATTTAATATTTTCTAACATCATCAAATAATAAATCACTTATTTCGTACTTAACCCTGCAAAATTTAAGACTGATTTTAAAATGACCAGTAATCTCATAAGTTGTGCCCATGTGGTGCTTTGAAGAATTTATTCATTTCACCTATTATTGTAATTTTTCATAAATACATACATATATTCATTATTAAGGTAAGATTATTCGCTAATGCAAAAGTGTTAGGAAATAATTATAATAATTGCTTTCACACTGACTTTCTCTAACACAAAGATGAGTATGCAAGTCACATTGAGTTGCGAATGACATCACATTAGAATAAAGGTCATTCACTCACTTGTATAACATTTCTACTTGGATATTGGTATTAAATAACGTAGAAGATATTTTCAACAATATAAATTGCGTTTTGTTGGAATGAAAAAAATATGATTGTTAAGTAATTAGTAATTTGTAGCTCGGCTAAACATCACTACATGTTTTGCATACATTACTATTTGACTTTATTGTTTTGTTATAAAAATCTTTGATAACATTGGAATTTCATAAAATTAATGGTGTATTAGATCTTGTTTAACTTTAAGTAATTAATACAATTATTCTTTGATGATTATTATTATTCTATTGTATTACATACCTTCTAGTGGAATGTTAAGAATCTCCGTCGAATTGAGACGTTAGGTCGTGCTAGCGAGTCTAAAAACGTAATATTAGTATGTTTTATATAAAAGAAAAGAGAACAGCAATAAGGATACACTCATTGCATTGAACAGCAAACACTGTCACAAGTTTAGAAACTTGTATGTAAGAAATTATTATTTAGTGTTACATTAATGATTACGTACTTAATTAAGAATAAGCTTTAATCGCAATGTATGGCCTTGATCGTGCCTTAGTAGTGGAACTGAACCAAACTCTATTTATAAACGGTACTTTAATGCTAGATTTAATTAAGTAAACTTTTAATTAGATTGTAGTTTATACTTATTGCTAATTCTATAGTTTGCGATTGCTCATACATGTGTGAAGTAAAGCAATGTCGCTATGCTTCGAACTTATCTGAACCAGCAAGTTTTCGGTACCACCTACCTTTTAATGAACAACCCTATTTGCACTAAATCCCGAGATCGGAATATATTAGTCAACGCAAAAAAATACGTAAGTTAAAATATTACTGATATCTGTATCAGAATCTCGTTGCTCCATTTCTTGATGTTGAGGCGAATGTATAGGTACTGTATTGAAGTACCTAACTATTTACCAGATGTAGGTATGCATGTGATACTTACAATACTGGGTATTTTAATAGAACATTCAATGGATTTAAAGCATTCCATAGACCGCCCCGTGTCTACGGGCAATATGGAATTTTCATTTTGCTTCCAATCTAACTTTTTAACCGGCATACGTACATTTAGTATTATAATGTAACTCGGGTATTTAGTCAATGTATGAGTCTTCTGAATTCTGAATATGACTTATAATTATATTTTATCTGAATAAATTTGTCGTTGATTTCATAACAGGATATGTGGTGTTATTTTATAGCTAACCCGAATATGATGGCGATGAGCGGAAGAGACGCTCGCTGTGAACGCATTTTTTATGTGCTTATCTCTCAACCACTAACAAAGTGTTCATATCTACGTATCGCCTACGCATAGCGACTTCGGTTTTATGTTTTATTTTAAAGCCCTTCAAGCGGTAAAACCACTAACTTCCTGTGTCCTTGTTTCAATCCAACTGACACCCCTGTTACCTATTTCCTGAACGAATAGAAATAGTACCTATACCTACACTAGTAGCTTACTTTTAACTCTGTCAACTAACTAATTAAGAAACATCAGATTTTGCTATACAATAACCTTATCACCCTTCAAACTATGAAATTATACTAAGGCATTCAGCTCGCTAGTTGAACGGCTAATTAAGCGAGTTACTAGATGGTTATCTACACTACAACATCTACTGCTTACTTAGAACTTAATGTAGTAAAGCCATGGTTTGGGACATTAGGACGAAGGGCTCGTAATAATACCATGGTCGTGCAGAAAACTGGAGTGAAATAGCCAGATATTTGTGTTTTGCTATGTTGTAAGTACTTACTCACCTACAATATAGGTTTGGCAAACAAGCTTCAGTGCAGTGTTCCAAAAAGGCTACAAAAACAATTGTAATTGTAGATAATGCAAATGTATGCATTTGTGGCAAATTACTTCATTACATCGAGTAGACACGCAGTAGGAAAGTATACTAGCCAGTGTAGGTACCTACCTACTATCCATATTAATCAAATCTTCAGTTTTTAGACAAGTGTCCCAGTTAACGCACTATTAAGTACGTGAGGCCTAATAAATACCCATTGATTTTTTGTGGGGAAAATCATAAAATTATTTGGGTGGGACGGGAAGGAATGTCAGACTTTGACTAAAATCTCCCCGTTCCTTCTCCTGCTCAAGGCCGAGGCCGCGGTGACTTATTGCGCTTGCTCCGCAACCCAAGAACCAGTGCCACTGACACCCTGGGCGAAAATATTGTGGCGCCCACTTGAGGGAAGCAATATTATGTGTTAGTTTTTTGGTGATCCCAAGTAAAATTAAAAAATATGCATATGCACAGAGCGTAGAACACAGTTCTGAGCACCCAACTTCAGATCTTGGCGCGCTCCCCAGAATTTGTCGCCCTGGGCCATCGTCCTATCACGCCCACCCCTAACGCTGACACTGCCAAGAACCCGTCTGTGGTAGTCTATGGCTCTGAAGCGCGCGCATTACGCCGCGCCATACCTACGCTCGGGAAATAAGTTTCGCTTCGGTCTAATTTAGAGCATATTTAGAGGTATGAGGAACAGGGTGGAAAGTTCCTCATCCTCCATTGAAAAGGGAGGATCCTCCGACCAGGCGAGGTGTTCGTGCCTGGTGGGCTACTGCCCGACGGTTGTTGTCGGGATATCTGTATGGGTGCTAATTGTGTGGAAAACTCTTATAGCGCGATGTAGACTCTTGCTCGTGATTGGTGCTGTTGTTTATGTAGTGCGCTAGATGTCGCTACATCACTCCCCTCCGAGACCGGAGGTCGTTAGCTGGTTGAGACGTCTGTGAGATGCTTGTCGAGCCAGTTGATGGTTTCAGTGCGTCGAATCTGTCTGCGAAGGTGCCCCAGTGCGTCGGGTGGTGCAGTGCTGAAGAGTGGCTAGCTGCTGCGTCGACCAGGAGAGGGAGTACGTCTCTGCTTGCTGACCGGCCGGTGCAGTATGCTGTGCCGAAGTTGCTGATGAGGCTGTAGGTGCTGAAGAGTGGCTAGCTGCTGCGTCGACCAGGAGAGGGAGTACGTCTCTGCTTGCTGACCGGCCGGTGCAGTATGCTGTGCCGAAGTTGCTGATGAGGCTGTAGGTGCTGAAGAGTGGCTAGCTGCTGCGTCGACCAGGAGAGGGAGTACGTCTCTGCTTGCTGACCGGCCGGTGCAGTATGCTGTGCCGAAGATGCTGATGAGACTGTAGGTGCTGACCAGGAATGCGCGTTGGCTGCATGCTGGTGGTCAGGGAACCCGTTGTAGCCATGGAAGCTGGCTGACTGTAGACTCGCTGCGGGTATGAGGAACAGGGTGGAAAGTTCCTCATCCTCCATTGAAAAGGGAGGATCCTCCGACCAGGCGAGGTGTTCGTGCCTGGTGGGCTACTGCCCGACGGTTGTTGTGTCGGATATCTGTATGGGTGCTTATTGTGTGGAAAACTCTTATAGCGCGATGTAGACTCTTGCTCGTGATTGGTGCTGTTGTTTATGTAGTGCGCTAGATGTCGCTACACATAATTTATCTAGAACTAAACATACCTAGGTACGAAATTTTATTGTATAAGAAGCTAGGCTACCTACTAAGTACGAATTTCATAAATTAAATAACTGAGAAAAGCTCTGCCGATTAGTTTTATCAAG